CCATTTCTAAAAAGTGGAAGACAGCTCCCAAAGAATCCTTGCCTTCTTGTTCTCTTTCCTTTAATTTTTCATATTCCATTTTTAATTCATTCACAGATACTGCCATTGTAAAAATCTTTAAGAACAACCCAGATGCTTTTAGTCTTAAAGTAATTTCCAAGTGTACAGTCCAAACAAACACAAAATATTTCCTCTTCTTCTCTTTGCAGTTTTTCCTCCTGGGGCAAAATCCCAAAATATATTTTAAAGCCGTATTACAGTTAGTTGCTGGTCTTATAATCTTCAAGGAGTCTCCTCCAACAAATTTTTAAAGGTTTTTTTAGTCATCTCCTTCCCACTTATAACAAAGAGCTTATTTTTACCTTAAAGAAGCAGGTTTTTCAGTGCTCATTTGCTTTCTCTGTAGGGAAGGGGAGTAAACTTTCCTTCAGCACTTTCGCCGCTTTAACAACTTCTTTCGGAAACAAATGTATCAATCCAAAAGTCAGGTTTCCAGGGTGTTTAAAAGTATCTTAATGTCCCAGTTCAGCCAAGAAAACTTTCTCCTTCTGATTCTTCCTCCTGCACAGATCTCGTCCGGTTGAAGATTCCTTTGTGGCTGCCATTTCTGACAGCTGCTCCATCGCCTCAGGAAAAAGGAGTCTAGCCGGCTGGGGAAAGGGGTTGCGATATTCCCAGACCCCTGCCCGGATCTCCTCTGTCTTCCGCTACCTCTTCGGAGTAGCGACAACCCCCAAATCCAATTGGATCGGGGGTACCTCAGCAGCGAGCGCAGCAGGGACCCGCAGCATTGCGGATTCCTGCTGCCGCCGAAGTCTGCAACAGGAACCGACGAGAATTAGAAATGTTTTTTGAAGTAAATACAAAATAACACACCTCTCTGCAGAATTTGCGGGACATAACAAAAGCCTATTTAAGGGGATTAACAATTGCATACAATGCCAGGAAGAAAAAAGAAAAAGAAAGTAATGAGTTACAGAATGAGATTGGAAAATTGGAAAGACAAGCGCAATTAACACCAGAGAACGAGCAAATCATAAATAAATATAATTTAGAACAGGAAAGAAACTTAACAGCATTGAAATTAGTAAAGCAAAACTATTTTGAAAATGCCAATAAGCTGGGAAGGTGGCTGGCATATAAGTTAAGGAAGGAAAAAGAAAAGAGATGGATTCAACAATTACAAGATAAGGAGGGAAAGATACAAAACAATATGGAAAAGAAAAAAGAAATACTGGAATATTTTAGTAAACTCCATAAACAAGAATATATAAGTAAAGAGAAAATCAAGCAGGATATAGAGGAAGAAAATATTCCAATACTAACAGAAGAAGAAAGGGAAAGATTAAATGGAGAGATCACTAAGGAGGAACTTAAAGAGGCAATTAGTAAACAAAACAACAACAAAACCCCCAGAACAGATGGATTACCTGCAGAATTATATAAAAACTTAGGTAAAATACTTGATCCAATCCTTATAGAAATTTATAATGAAGTACTTACAGAGGCAAAGCCACCAATGTTGTGGAGAAAAGCATATATTACATTAATATCGAAGGAGAGTGCAGATGCCACCCACATAAAAAATCATAGACCAATTTCTTTATTGAACGCCGATTACAAAATATTTATGAATATAATGGTTGATAGATTGAAAAAAATATTAAGTAGATATGTACACACAGATCAAAATGGTTTTCTTCGCAACAAGACAACTAAAAAATAACAAGGACAGTACTAGATATCTTGGAGTATTACAAGGTGCATCCAGAAAAAACAGGCTGCACCAATTTTTCTGGATGCCCAAAAAGCTTTTGATAAAGTAAATTGGCAATTTATGAGACAACAAGTAAAGGAGATGAAATTCAGGGATAAATTTGAAAAAAATAGTCAATATATTCAAGCCCAAAAGACTGGATAATAATTAATGGAGAAATGACAAATTCATTTGAAATACGAAAAGGAATCAGGCAGGGATGTCCACTTTCACCTCTGCTCTTTATCATGACACTAGAAATTTTGTTGAGGAGAGTTAGACAGAATTCGGAAATAAAAGGACTAAAAATTAAACAAGAATACAAGGTCCAAGCATTTGTGGACGACCTTGTATTTTTCATAGAAGAACCAATTAAATCTGGACCAAATTTAATTAAAGAGATAGAGAGATACAGAGAAGTGGC